TTGTTTTAAATAAAATTTTGTTTATCATGATTTTATGCATTATCCCATACTTAGTACAAGTGTTTGTACTAATTCCATACATTGTTCTATCACAAAAGGTGTAGTTGGAATTTGAGAGGAGTCGCGAAGTGGAAACTTGTATTAATATTCATTCAAGCAAGTAGTTCGTATCCCCTCTAGATTCGAGGACATCTTGATGTTTACTTTTTCTTATGTAAAGTATTGTAATAGACTTAGAAATTTTCCTTTATGATTAAGTATGGGTCGTGTCACAACGCATTTGTATGTATTAGATGGCAACTTTGAGACTTATACTTTCATTATATTTTTCTATAAAAAGAGATATTTTGAAATATTATTATTTTGTGTAAAAACATTCAATTCTAAACTACTTTTCACACGTGTATGCAATGAACAGTATGAAACGGCTAGTACAAGACCTTAAAGAGGTTGAGTACGACGTGTTGCGGTTCATTAATGTCCTAAATTCTAGGGGGTAATCTCGTGTCGTGACAAACACGGTATCATAGCATTAGGTTATGAAGTAGACTATAGGATCCAAAGTCTCAAAAAGCCACGTCTAGTGGATTCTTGACTATCAGTGTTAGTCGCACAAATCTATGGGTAAGCGGTTATAATACGATAGAGTTTCCCTTCTTTTCTAGTCTTGGGTCGTGTTGTAGAGTGAAAATTTATAAGTGTCTTTCGAAAAGTTTTATTTCTATTTGTAGGAAGATGACCACTGGAAGGATGGCCACTAGAAGCGTTGAAGAAGGAAGAGAGAATGAGAGAGTTCCTCCTTATGTTGAGCAAGTTCTTCATGGTGTCAAAGTTCCTCACAGTGTTCAAGTTCCTCCACAAGATGAAAAAGTTCCTAATGTAGAACAAGAGAATGAGATTTCGGTGGTTCCCCCCGTTATGGCTAATGGGGAGATCAGAGAGGATCTCCTTACCCTAGCCCGAGCTATGACAACTCAATTGAATAGAGACTTTGGGCCTAGGATGAAAGATATCGAGAGTTCCAAGTCCTCTAGATTGAAGAATTATTTTAGGATTAATCATTTTTTCTTCTTTGGTTCTAAGGCGGGAGAATATCCTTAAGCTTTCTTGGAGGAAGTGTATAAGATAGTGCATGACTAGGAGTAACTTCTAAAGAGAAAACAAAGTTAGCTTTATATCATTTGTAAAGAAATATCTTCATACTATAGTATAGCGGTTGAATAGGGACCCTTAGAGTGGGAAGAGTGTAAGTAAGCATTCCTAGAAATGTACTTTCCCTGTTAGAAGAGGGAGGTTAAGATTGAGGAATATAAGGCAAGGTAGTATTAGTGTTAAGGAGTATTTCATAATGTTTATCCGATTGTCTTAGTATGCTCCATCCTTTGTGATAATGATCGAACAAGAAAATACAGAAATAAATAAAAGATATGTGGATTAACTCGGGCTATTGAAATTATGGGCAACAAGGGAATAAAACCCTCACCTTACAATTGACTTCAACAACCTAAATTTAACCCAAAGGAAGAATAATTTAAATGAAACCAAGAATCACAAAGGGGTAACACTTAGATTAATCAAACTCAAGAAGTTAACTAGCAATCCCAAGATTTACCCTAATTTACTAACTAATTATACACTAAGACGATACTACAATTCGAGAGTCAATATTCGACATTGTCCTTGTCTTGCAAACTGATAAAAGACTAATATTGATACTAAGGAAATAAAGAAGACACTTCTTTGACAATCTTGCCCTTAATGAGGTAAAATCCTTTTTTGGTTGCCTTCATTTGTGCATTCTTAAATTCATGAAATGGTCATTTGCACACATGGCCTTCTTTCCTTCTTCCTTCTCAATTTGATTGTAATGTAAACACAGTTTATGCCTTTCTTTGGTGACCTTCAATCTCCTCTAAGGCTTCCCTTTTCTTGAACATTTCTTGTAGTCCTTGGAGATCCTTTTCTTGAAACCGTATGAATGTTCTTGAGGGGAACATTTCACTCATGTTAGTGTCATCCATGCTGCCCATGTTATCATCCTCCCCTTCTTGAAAATTATTCATCCTCGAATCCGAAGGATCACCTATAACACAAGGATATAAATTAGTAATATCGAAAACATTATGAACATATACGAACTTTGTAGGTCAATCATGTAAGCAATGTCATTGATTCACTTGATTACATGGAAGGGCCCATCTTCTCTCTGGCTTAGATTCCCTTTTTGTACTTGTGGAATCCTTTCCTTTCAGAAATGCACCCACACCTAATCATCTGGATTGAAGATCACTTTCTTTCTCCCTCAATTCTTCCGAATTGACACATTTGAATTTTTCTTTTCAATGGGTTCTTTAACCTTGGCATGAATGTTCATCATCTCTTTTACCATTTTATTGGCATCTAGTCTTACAACAACATCACTAGACAAAGGAATCATGGTTAATGGAAACAAAAGTTTAAAACCATAGAAGGCCTAAAATGGAGACATTCCAATAGAGGAGTCGAAATAACGATTATATGCAAATTCAATCAAGGGTAAACGGTCTTCCCAAGTTGTTGGGGTTCCTATAATTAAGAATCGAAGCATGGTTTCATGATTCCAGTTGACTACTTCGGTTTGTCCATCCGTTTGAGAATGGCAAGAAGTAGAGAACGGAAGTTTGGTACCATGTGTAGCCCATAGACTCTTTAAAAATGACTTAGAAACTTGGAATCTCGATCACTAACAATGGTTTGAGGGAGTCCATGAAATTTAAGCACGTTGATAACAAACAAAGATTCTACATGGGATGTATCATCACATTTATGGCATGAAATAAAATGAGTCATTTTAGAAATTCTTTCCTCTACCAAAAATATACTATAATGTCCACTTTTAGTCCTAGGCAGTCGCTAAACTAAATCCGTAGAAATATCCATCAACGGACCATTAGGAGTAGTAACATGAGTATACTTACGTTGGGGCTCGGTCGTGGTTTCGTCTTGCTTACATTCTAAAAATTGTCAAAAAATCCTCTCCACATCACGTTTCATCTTGGACCAAAAGAACTCCTCCTTAAGAATATCAAGTGATTTAGTACCCCAAAGTGTCCCATCAAACCACACTATGAGCCTCATTGACAAATAACTCTCTCTATGAGCTCATGGGCACACATGTCCGACTATCTTTGAACAGAAACCTATCAACCAATTGGTACCTATCAACTCACCTCATTTTAATAAGATTACCAAAGATATATTTTAAGTCTGAATCAATAGAATAGAATCCCTTTATGCTTTAAAACCACATCATTCTAGAAACCAAGGTATTGAACCATTACAAACCTTCTTTATAGAGCATCCGCTACCACGTTCTCCTTGCCTTTCTTGTAGTTAATAACATATGGAAAGGTTTCAATGAATTCAACCCACTTAGCATGTCTCTGTTTCAACTAGGATTTCCCCTTAAGATGCTTCCAGGACTCATGATTGGTCCTTATCATAAACTTTTTGTGCCACAAGTAGTGTTGCCAATGAGTCAACACTCGCACAAGTGCATACAATTCCTTGTCATGAGTTGAGTACTTCAGTGTAGCTCCTTTTAGATTTTTTAAGTTTTATACTCTTTTCTAATCTTATGAGATTGCCATAGGTTAATTTTTTAAAAGGATTTTTTATTTTAAACTAATCCTTTAATGTGCCGATATATCCAATTATTACCATAGCTTGTAATTTTTTATGTAATAAATATTTTATTTCATAAGCCGTAATATCTATTCCTCTTTTATTATAAATTTGATACTCTATGAATTTATTATTAGAAAATTCAGGTAGTTTAAATATTGGATGAGTTTATAGAGTTTTCGTTTCTTCCTTATAGGAAGGACATGTTTTACTTTCTTTAGTGTTGATTATATTTATTTGAAAAAGGTAAGGTAGTAATAACTCTACCATTTGTCGGTACACTAATTTCTTCTAAAGGAGGAATTTTTAGATTCAACTACCTTATTATTATTAGTATATCATTTATCAATAAGTATTTCTAACGACTCATTTTGGTCGTCTAATTTCCCTGTGTGTTCAAACCATTTTAAAAAATCTATATTAAATTTTAACCGTTTCATACACATAAACCATTTATTTATAAATGTTATTCTTTCTGATAGAGACTATATTTGTGTATACCATTATTTTTTAACAGAGTTTTTTGAACTAGTCCAATGTTTATTTAAATAATTAAAATCTGGTTCCAAAGATTCTTCTAAATAAATTATGCCAATTTAATTCTTAAATTTTTTAATGGATTGTACTAAAGTAGCATTCTTACTTATTATTTTATTACTCTTTAAGATAGTATCTTTACTTATTATTTCATTACCTTTTATGGTAGTCAATATTAAATTTTCTACGTCTTTTACACATGGTAGAGTAGACATGAATAATTAAGAGTTTATAAATTACGGAGTATCTAGCATAGAGAAGAGCACTATCCTTAGGCTTAAATTTCTACTTTATAGATTACTACGAAAATAATAAATTCTGTGTAGTAATTATTGTTACCTTTTTCACTAATTTTCTTTGATCTTATTCCTTTAGTCTTTGCAATGGGTACACCCTCCGGTCCCACTCCACGACACACACAATCTAAGCTAATCCAACGGAAAGTACGGGATAGTCAACGTATAAACCAGGAATTATCCAGTTACCCCACTTAAATGAGTAAAACTAAGAAGACAAGTGGAATAAGAACAACAACTACAAAACGCTGAACATATACCCAGACCGCAACCTATGTTTTGACGCCATCCGCACAAGGACAGCATAGGACTTAGCCTCTCCTACTCACACCCTTCCCGGCCGGCTTGGCTCTGATACAAATTAAGGGGACGAATTGAGTTCCGTGAAGGAATTAAAATACAAATTATTTGATATTATTGCTACAAAATAGCACAAAATTACTTTCTTAATAAAAAAAAGTGCCAGAAAACTTAGCTATCACTCAGAGAAATATCAAGAACAGAAGCATTCAACAATGAACCGTACGTGCAAAGATATGGTATACAAATTTCAAGACAATTATAAATCAGCATTTGGACAAAGTAAGCGTATTAACTATGTCAAAAATTCCACCAACATGTGAACCCCACAAGAATAAAGCCACAAAATAACAAGAAGACAAAATAACATGATATGCTTTGAAGATAAAATTTCAGCAAAAGAAGACAAACATGCAGTGAAGGCTATGTAAGTAGTTTCAGCTAACGTGTCATTTATTCTAAGCCACGTACAATTATCATCAGTTATTTTTAGTAGGTAGTAGTTACATGTAAAATGAATAATGTGTATTAGTGTATGCACACATGTCATATAGAGGACATAAAAAGTTAGATTAATCAACTCTTTTGATGCCTATTTAAGGCATTGAACTTGTACTAATAAGAGGCATTCAAAATCCCTCTACAATTCTCTCCATTTTTCCTTCTCCAATCTATTTTTTCTCTTTCCCTAAATCAATAGAAAGTTCTATTTTAAGCATTCTCTCTACTGTTTTATTTATTTGATTTCATGTTTTTTTAATTTTAATTTTACTATTACTTTTGTTATTCTCTTTTCTTTAAACTTTCTTAATATTTTGTTTTAAGCTTTGTTTGTTCTTGCTCCCTTCTGTTACTCTGCCCAATTTCACTTAGGATTTCGTGTTGAAACTTGGTCCTTCCCCTTAATTGGTATCAGAGCCAAGTTGTCCGAGAAGGGTATGAGCAGGAGCGGATAAGTCCATACGTTGTCATTGGGCGGATGGCGTCGAAACTTAAGTTGCAGTGGGGATGGTAAGTTCAGAGTTTGGTAGTTGTTTTTCTTCTTCCACTTGTCTTCTTAGTTTTATTCCTTGAACAGGGGTAGCCAAATAATTCTCGATTTAGACGTTGGTGAGCACATACTTTTCGTTGGATTAGCGTAGATTGTGTGTGTCGTAAAGCTGGATCCGGAGGGAGTTACCGTCACCAAGCCTATAGGAATAATATCAACGAAAAATAGTGAAAAGGTAACAACAATAACTACACAATGAATTTATTATTTCGGTAGTAATCTTTAAATTAGACATTTAATTGCAGGGATAATGTTCTTCTCTCCGCTAGATACTCTGTACTATATAAACACTTAATTATTCGTTTCTATTCTACCATGTGTAAAATACTTAGAATATTTAATATTTACTACCATTAAAGGTAATGAAATAATAAGATACTACCTTAAAGGTTAATAAAATAATAAGAATGCTACTTTAGTAAAATTCATTAAAAAATTAAGAATTATATTGGCATGATTTATTTAGATTAACCTTTTGAACCAGATTTTAATTATTCAAATAAAGGTTGGACTAGTCCAGAAAACTCTACTAAAAAACAAGGATATGTATAAGGATATTGTCTATCAGAAACATTTAGAAATAAGTGGTTTAGTGATATCAGAAGGTTATAATTTAATATAGATTTTGTTAAATGGTTGAAAACACAAGGAAATTAGACAATCAAAATGAGTCGTTAGAAATACTCATTCATAAATGGTATAGTAATAATAATAAGGTAGTTGATTCTGAATTTCCTTCTTTAGAAGAAATTAGTCTACCGACAAATGGTAGAATTATTACTTCCTTATCTTTTATAACAAATATAATCAACACTAACAAAAGTAAAACAAGTTCTTTCTATAAGGATGAAACTAAAAATCTAGAAACTCGTCCAATAATTAAACTACCAGAATTTTCTTATATTAAATTCATACAGTATCAAATTTATAATAAAATAGTAATAACTATTAAGGATTATAAAATAAAATAGTTATCAGTTATACAATTACCTACTATGGTTACAACTTGATTTACTAGCACATTAAAGGATAAGTTTAAAGAAAAAAACCTTAAAAAAAATTAACCTATGGCAATCTCATAAGATTAGAAACAAGTATAAAACATAAAAATCAATTAAAGAGGGCTAGAAATCATCGTAAAAGATATAACAACAAACACGACAAATCCCAATAGTATAAAAGAAAATCTAGATTAGTTAATTAAGACATTAATGTGTGTTGAAATGTGGAAAACACGGATGTAATGCTAAGGATAATCATGCCCCTAACAAAAGAAAGGATACGATAACTAGGTTAGAACTACAAGATAATATTATAAATAAATTATACTCAATTCTTAATAAAAATCACAATAGTTGCAGCACAATTTATAGTTGAGGTAACCAATTTAAAATAAAGGATAAGTCTAAAGGTAATAACTCAACTTACAGTGGCAGTAAAAATACAGATTGCACCTACGATAACCCCTCCATCAATGTCATTAGCAATAGTAATAAAGAAGTTTTCTTTGATATAATTGAACATATAGAATATAAAGGTTATAAGAAAAAAATACTTGAGAGAATTAAAAAATATAAATCTTAATCAACAAATAAATAATCATATTGTTAAACCCGTTAGCAGGACCAATAGAGAACAAATTTCTGAAAAAACACTTCAAGATCTTCAAAGAAAATTAATACATGTAAAGAAAGAAATCAAAATAATCAAACAAAAACTTAACACTTCAGAAGATATATCCACCAAAAGACAAAGTTCACAATTTGAATTAGAACCATTAACTTAAAAAAAAATTAAGGAGTCAATACTATTGCAATAATTAAAGCCATACCTATCATATACCCAGTACATTAATTATTCATAAAAATTACTCTATACAAAAGGTTGCTTTATTATATACTGGTGCAGATCACAGTTCCATAAATGACAGAATTATCCTTACTAAGTATCTTAAAAAAAGTACTACTCGATTATTCTCCGCAACAGGAGAAAGACTTAAAATAAATTATAAACTCCACAAGGGACACATATGTAATGATGGAATTTGTTTCATAAATGATTTTTTAATAACTGCAGACGTAAATGAAAAAATGATTTTAGGAACTCCCATTATAACACAACTAAAGCCTTATACGACTAATCTAGATGGAATTCACACCAATATCTTAGGAAAAGGGACTATCTTCTCATCTATAAATAGTATATCAATAACTGAAAGTGACCTCCAAAAAAATTAAAATATATTTAGAATAAATCTACTAAAAACAAATTAATTATCTAAGAGAAGATATCAAGATTAAAAGAATTCAATCCTCTTTAAAAAAAAACCCGGAAGTAGAAGCTAAAATGAAAGGCTTACAAGGAGAAATAGAACGAAAAGTTTGTTCTAATTTTCTTAATGAATTTTGAGAAGGAAAAATCATGTTGTTGAATTACCTTATATTGAGGGATTCGACAAAAATATCATCCCCACTAAGGCAATACTCATTAAAATGAAAGTCGAATTAATGGAATATTGTAAAAAGGAAATTAATGACTTACTTGTCAAAAATAATATTAGACCGTCCAAGTCACCTTGGAGTTGCTCTGCCTTTTATGCCAACAATAGTGCAGAAAAAGAAAGAGGAGCCCCAAGGCTAGTTATCGATTATGAGCCCCTTAATAAGGTATTTAAATGGATTAGGTATCCCATACCTAACAAACGTGATCTTCTTAAGAGAACTTAAAATGCTAATATTTATAGTATGTTTGACATGAAATCAGGATTTTGGCAGATACAAATCGCCGAAAAAGACAAATATAAAGCAACCTTCAATGTCCTTTTTGGATAATATGAATGGAATGTGATGTCTTTCAGACTAAAAAATGCTCTGTTTGAATTTCAAAATATCATGAATAATATATGTAATCAATACAGTCAAATTTCTATAGTGTACTTAGATGATGTATTAATATATTCCGAAGATATGGATCAACACTTTAAACATTTCCATACCTTTTTAAAATTTGTCAAGAAAAATGGTCTAGTAGTATGTGCTAAAAATATTAAATTATTCCAGACTTCCATTATATTCCTTGGCCATTCCATGTCCATGAATTATATAAAGGAATCTTTGAACCCATTTGTAGAGCCATAGAGGTCTTGTCACGATCCAAAATGACTCGCGAGTGCTACCCACACTTAACCTCTTAAGTGTGCGAACGAACCAATTTAACCTAAATTAAAAAATATAAGCATGACGCGGAAACTCAAATATTACTAAATATCATTTTCCAAAACCTGAAAGTCATCATATCAACGACATCTAATATCTCATACTAAGTCTAAGAATATAAAATACACAAAAATTAAAAGAATAAAATGGTATATTTTTGAAAGTATGGGACATCATGTCATGAATGAGAGAACCCAACACGAGCTTGAATGGATATCTCACCCTGGAACTTGATATGCGGGAGGGTGACTACAGCTGAGGAAAATAAATAGTCATAGGTACACTTGTTGCATTTCATAAAAGGAAAACAAAGAAGAAAACAAGTAGGCTTAGTACGAGGCAACATGTACTGAGTAAGTATCATTGGTCAACCCAAAAAAGTAACTTATATACAAAGAATAATAGTATCAACTCAACTATAGCACTTAATATGTGATAAGTAACACACAACATGAACAAGTGTCAATAACAATAAAGTAAGCACGTATTAAGTCAACGGTATAATGATCACACATGAGGACTCGTGCCTTCAAACCAATCTATTTTGGGAGTTGAGTTCTTTGAGATTGAGTATCTTCCATTAATTAAACATATTTTCCTTAATATTATCGTGACAGAACGTGACATACTGATCCTAGAATACCGTATCGAAACGTGACACTCCGATCAAAAAATATCGTGTCAGAACGTGACACTTTGATCAAAAACTACGTGTTGGAAAGTGACACTCCGATCCAAAACTACGTGTTGGAATGTGACACTCCGATCAATTAATACCATTAATGTATCATTTCATATGACCACTTTTTCATTCGGTAATAATATTTCATCGAGCCTTCTTTATATAAGGCATTACTTAGATAGAAACAGTTTAAGATTATACATTCCACGGTCTTGGGATTTCAGACACATCACAAAAAAAAACACGACCAAGCCACACAATCACACAATCAAGTACCCAGAAACCTTCACAATATCATTCAATACATATCAGTCACTATTAAGAGTTTACTATGAAATATCATAAACCATAACCTATCTCCACCGAAGAACCGAAGTAAGCAAACTACTTTTCCAACATTTTTCCTTCTCCAAAATGCCTTAAAATCTTTCCAATCAATCAAATGTATATTTATAACTTGTAAGTTAAAGATTCTATAAACACTCATATCATATTATGTCTATCCTAGACCCCAAAATCCACCTAATTCCATAATTAATTTTCTAAAGTTCAAACCTAATGGTGACTCTAATTAATATCCAATTACCTATCTCAATACATCAAAACATAAATTTATAAAATAATAATGTAAGAAACATTCAAATCCCATCAAATTATACGACCCAATACTAAACTTTCAACATACAATAGGAAGAACCTTAATTCTTCTAGTGATTCACTTATAATTGATCTATTATGTCCATTATCTTACTCCATTCCATAATAACACAACACATATGACAAATATAACAACAACAATATTTAATTGAGAGATTAGTTATGTCCTAAAATTAAACCATGAATTCAACTGGAAAGAGCCACCACAATAGGTTGTAATGGTAGTGCATACGTCTAACACCCATAATTTAATACTCACACCCTAACATATATGATACCATAAACTAAACTCGATCCATATATATATATATATATATATATATATATTATACCCATCGACACATATCCTTAGCTTTTAAAATAATTTCATTGGAAATTAATAGATTTATGGAAGCTAGTCTTGTCTCAACCCAAGGTCACTATGTACACTAAAAATTGTCCATTCCCTAATTTTACAAAATCAATACACATTAGTAGCAACAACATGCAACTTAAACATTATTAATTTCAACTTAATTGTTATCTAACTCAATTAATATTAATATTATAATAATAGGATTTTCACTAATTCAATATATACATATATATTAAAAACTAAACTTTTTCTATTTCCTTACACAT